CCTGCCGGACCTGCAGACGGATGGACGGATGCTCGGATGCTGGAGGACTGCTCGGCGGCGGCGGCCCGCTCAGCACTCGCTCCGGCCGCCCGGCCGCCCGACCGCCCAGTGCGGTTTCTCGGCGCCGCCCGCCCCGCTTCCCCGGGAGCTTCAGGGACGCTAATTGGGACTCGGGTCCCCCCAGGGTTGCAGCTGCGCAGGGGCTCCCTCCACCAGTCATCGCCTCCTCCAGCAGCCCCCGCCCCCGCCTCTTCCTGGGCCCACCCTCTGGGCCCCGCCTACCGCTGGGAGCCCTGGAGCCCCGCCTCTACCTTCCAGAGACCGTGCAGGCTTCGGGCCTCCTCTGGCGGCAGAAACCCGAGGCAGGACCTGAACCAGCGGGCTCCTAGGCGCGCCCCTAGGGTTCCCGGGCCTCCTATTGGGCGCTGCCTACCTGGAAGTGGAAGAGACGCCTGGGAGGAGCCCGCCCGGGGCTTGACCTGCACCGCAGGCTGGAACAGCAGTCCCCCGCCTGGGGGCTATCATGTTCGGTGGTTTGCCATCACGTGCAGCTTTTTCCTCCTTCCCTGCCTCTGGACCTTTGCACCTGCTATGGGAAAAGGAAAAGCCGCTCTTCCCACCCGGCGCGGCCCAGCGACGGCTCGGGGAGTAGAAGACGTCCCAGCAGCCCCGCACAGGGGTTGCCAGCCCCCTCTTTCGCCTCTCCCACGAGCGTGACCTGGCTGTAGGGCAGCACTTTTGGGTGGCCTATCGGTTTACGTCACTGCCAGCCGTTCCTGCGGGCTTTTATTATTGTTTTGTGAGAACGCCGTATTATCCTCTTTGTCGCACCTGCCCCGCTCTAAGGGACCCTCGCGAGCATGTGTTTCCAGAGCCCTGGGCAGGCGGGTGTTGGAGCCCAGTGTGCGAGGATCTTGGCCGGGCCTGATGGGCAAGGGGCCGTGCTCGGCGGGCATCCTGGCTCTGTCGCTCCGGAGTGGCCCCATTCTGACAGTCGCTAGCAGAGAAGGATGCGGACCCGGTCCGCAGAGTTATTGAGAGGCATGGTAGGCGGTCCAGCGGGCCCCGGAACCCGTGTATCGCACTCAGCGGCTGTGTGCGCGTGCCGACACGGAATCGTGTCCCCGGGTGACCTCAGGGAGCGGGGCCGCTGGATGCATCCAAGAAAAAAAAAAAAAAAAAAAAGGGAACGTGCCCTCCACCCTGAAGCCCGCCGGCGCCTGGGTCGGAGAACCTCAGAGTCAATCGCGGGGCGGGGCAGAGTCGGGGGGCGGGGCTGGAAGAGAGGAAGTGCGGCAACGCACTGCATCCTGGAACCGGAAGTGGAGCGCACATTGCATGCTGGCTGTCATGGAGGCGGCACGGAGTCGCAAGAGGTGAGTTTGTGGGTCCGAGGTAAGGGTCTCCAAAGGGCGGGGCTGGGGCGAGCCAAGTGGCGTTCGGCTCTGACTGCGAAACCGTGGCCCATAGGCGCCTGGCGGAGTTGACGGTGGATGAATTCCTGGCCTCGGGCTTTGATTCCGAGTCCGAATCTGAATCCGAAGGCAACCCCGGAGCGGAGGCGCGGACGGCGCGTGCGGCGCGGGGGCTTGCCCGGAGCCCGTGTGGACCGGGCGAGAGCCCCTTGGCCAGGTGAGCGGGGCGCCTCCTCCCGCGGAACGTCGCAGCCCCGCCTTTCCTGGGAGGCTGAGGGCTGGGGACCATCCTTACCCCTCCCACTTTGAGCTTTTTTCCTCTTCCCTACGGGTGTTCTCTGAGCGCCTGCTATGGGTCGGGTCCCTTCAGGCCAGTGGTTCTGAACCTTCCTAGTGCTGCGACCCTTTCATACAGTGACTCCCCCAACCATAAGATTATTTTCGTTGCTACTTCATAACTGTCATTTTGCTATACTACTGTTACGAACTTCACCCTTGTGAAAGGGGTCCTTCGACCCCCAAAGGGGTCTCGACCCACAGGTTGAGAACCTCAGCTTTAGGCGGTTGTCCGACACTACGGGAGGATATGAAGTTTCTGGCTTAGGGCTTGTTATTGCGGTGGATGGATGGCACAGGGCCTGCAACAGTGGGCTCAGACTTAGCAGGCATGGTGGTGATACAGGACCAGGCCGAGAGCCCTTCTGTTGTGCGTACATCAGGTGGCTGTGAGCCAGACCGACTACCCGGCCCCTAACAACAACAGGAGTAATAGGCTGGGGAGCAATTTGAAGTGTCCTAGGACTGGTAGCCCTGGATTGGGCAGACAGACAGGGCTTCCTACCCCTGTAAAGAGCTACAGTCTGGGGATCCTGTCCTGTAAGGTCGCTGTAAGTCAGAATGGACTCAAAGACCACGGGTTTGTTTTTGTTGCTGGAGGAGGGGGAGCTGCTTGGGAGTGGGAGAAATGAATAGAGGGGGCGATAAGGGCAGGGTTGTGTTGCTGTGTGAAACGGAGGAGGCACTTTGAGGAGGTAACTTGAGGTCACACAGGGGATTCTCAGGTGGAGGGCCCAGCCAGGATCCTGAAGCGGGAGCATGTTTCACGTGACCAGGCCAGTGAGAGGCCAGTGTGGCGGCAGAGGGGGTGAGGAAGAGAATCGTGGAGCAGAGCCCAGAGCTAGTTGACAAGGGGCTGGGTTTCAAGGCCGTTAGCAGGCATTATGATAATACGGGAAGTTATTTTGGAGTTCCGAACTGGGAGATTAACATGTGCCATGTTATACGAAGGGCCTTTAGGGTGCCGTCCTGGAAAGGCGCAGGAAAATGGCTTGGGGTGGGAGGCAATGTTGTAGCTGAGGGGTGGTGGTGGTATGGATGTGTGAGAGAGGTTTAAGGCTCACCCAGGCTTTTTCTCCTGGGCACCTGCAAGGAGCATGCTAAGCACCCACCCAGGTAGAGTTGGGTGTAAGTTGAGGTAGAGTGAGTTTAAGGAGATGTTGAGTTTAGAGTCAACATCTGCTGGCACTGTGGGTTAAGCATCGTGTTGCTAACTGCGATGCCACAGGAAGCCACAACTGGCTGTGCTGAGACTGGGCTTGCTGACCCTCTTTGTGCCCCCCATTCCTACCCCACGCAGCCTTCCCAGCCGGCGGAAAGGTCGTGCATCTGAGCACAAGGACCAGCTCTCACGGCTGAAGGACAAGGACCCAGAGTTCTACAAGTTCCTGCAGGAGAATGACCAGAGCCTACTGAACTTCAGCGAGTCAGACAGCTCTGAGGATGAGGATGAGGAGCAGCTTCACTCTCTGCCCAGCATGCTGGAGGTGAGGGACCCTGGCAGAGCGGGACGGAATCTGGGGCAGGCACCTGAGGCCTCTGTTATGCCTTGTTCCCCCTTCCCCCACCTTGACCCTTCTACATCTGCACAGGAGGCAAGTGAGGAGGAGGAGGATGGAGCAGAGGCCGGGGGTGAAGTCTCCAGGGGTCTGCAGGGGAAGAAGAAGGCGTTGGCCACGGTGACCCTCTCTATGGTTGAGCTTTGGAAGCAGGCAGCGAAGGTGAGGATTGGGCTGTGGACCGGACCCCGATGGTGCCCAGGGCTCCCGAGACCCACGATGTTGCCCTGTTCCCCCTGGCCTGCCCCTTCTCTCCAGGGCTGCCTTCTCTGGCTCCCCTGGGTGCAAAGGGGCTTCCTTCCAAGGTGCTCAGCGGCAGTGTCTGGAGGGCAGACTGGGAAGAGAGGATCTCCCATGCTACCTGGGAGCTAGCCTCGGAGGCCATGCCCTCTCTCCCGGAGGGTTCTGGAACCTGGCCTCGCTTATGCCCTTGCTTCTGGGACTTCCTTGGGGTCCTTTCTCCTTGCGTCCTCTTGCCTCTCCAGCAGAGCCTCACACCAAAGCTGTTCCATGAGGTCGTGCAGGCCTTCCGAGCTGCTGTAGCCACCACCCAAGGAGACCAGGAAGCTGCCGAGACCTGCCGATTCCAGGTGACAGACGGTGCAGGTGAGCTGGGCGAGGGCCCCAGGATCCATGTGAGTCTTCTGTCCTGAGTGCTGGACTAGGCGGCATCCTGCCTCATTTGTCCCGCTCCCGCTCCGGCAGTTTTCAACGCGGTGGTGACATTCTGTATCAGAGACCTCCTTGGCTGCCTCCAGAAGCTGCTGTTCAGCAAGACCCCCAAGGACGCTGCCAGGTGAGGCTGGAGGCCCCTGTGGACCTCTGAGTTGGGGGGGGGTGCAGTGGCAAGCGGGTGCCCCCATTCCCTTTTTATCTGGGATGCGCTTCTCTGGCCAGGGAAGACTGTTTCTGCCTCTGGCTTTCATCCCCGCTCCCCCAGGCGCACTCTCTTCTTTCTCCCTGACAACTGAGTCTAACTCTCTTGCTGCCAACTTGTCGCCTCTGGGAGCTGTGGCAAGGCAGGGTCACAGACCTCGGGGGGTGTCTCTGCAGGGGGGCCCCGCCATCCAGCAGCCCGCTGTGGGGGAAACTCCGCCTGGACGTCAAGACTTACCTGAGCTCGGTCACACAGGTGCAGTTGTGGCAGGAGGCGGGGGAGGGAGGCAGGGGCTTGGGCTCGGGGTTGAGTTGGGGCCTCACTGTCCCCTGTGGCCCCCAGCTGGCTAGCTGCCTGACGGAGGTGACCGTGGCGGGAGGCGGGGGAGGGAGGCAGGGGCTTGGGCTCGGGGTTGAGTTGGGGCCTCACTGTCCCCTGTGGCCCCCAGCTGGCCAGCTGCCTGACGGAGGTGACCGTGGCAGCCGCTCTCCTTCAGCACATCAGCAGCGCCGTGCCTTACTACCTGACCTTCCCGCAGCAGTGCCGAGCGCTGCTCAAGGTAGGCCAGACTGGGAACCCTGGTGGGTCCCGTGGGCGTCCCTGCAGCACGCGGGGCATCCCTGTCCTCGCAGAACCGCAGGAGGCTGGGAGGCCACACTTAGAGCCTGGCCCAGGTGCTGGGGCTGCCTGACTGGGGTGGGGCTCAGCCTTGCGCCTTCTTTCTGGCTTTATGATGGCTGACAGCTGTCACCTGGACCTTTGGTGAATTGATGTCCCAGGAGTGACCAGAGGCCCCTCGGGCCTGCCGCCCCTGAGCGAGGAGAGGGCCTGGCTCGGGCCTCCTGGGTGGGTAGGTGGTGACCCGTGCCCTCCGCAGAGGATGGTGGTTCTGTGGGGCACTGGCGAGGAGACCCTGCGCGTGCTGGCCTTCCTGGTTCTCGTCCGAGTCTGCCGCCACAAGAAGGACACGTTCCTGGGCCCCATGCTCAAGGTAGTGCTGCGCCTCCTGTGTGGGCGTACCCTCACGTGGCCCCTGCCCTGGGCCCCGGGGTGCTGAGGGAGGGGCCTCTGGAAGATGGTGGCAGGCTCCGCCCGCTGGCCCTGGAGCTCAGCCCTGACCTGTACTTGCCTCTCCCCAGCAAATGTACCTCACGTACGTGAAGAACTGCAAGTTCACGTCCCCGGGCGCCCTGCCCACCATCATCTTCATGCAGCGCACCCTGACCGAGGTGCTGGCCCTGGACACGGGCGCCGCCTACCAGCACGCCTTCCTCTACATCCGCCAGCTTGCCATCCACCTGCGTAATGCCATGGCCATGAGGAAGAAGGTCCGGGCTTGCCCGGGGTGATGGGGGTGAGCTTCAGCGGAGAAGCCCTTGCCCTGGCTGCCTGGATCTGACGCGTGTCATCCCTGCACAGGAGACGTACCAGTCTGTGTACAACTGGCAGTTCGTGCACTGCCTCCACCTATGGTGCCGTGTCCTGGGCACCCTCTGCCCCCGAGGGGCCCTGGAGCCCTTGATCTACCCACTCACGCAGGTCATCATTGGCTGCATCAAGTGAGTGGGGCCGGCTTACATGGTTGCCCTGTGTGTGGCGGGGGTGGGGGGGTGAGAGTGCACAGCAGGTGGCCTAGGGGCTCAAGGTTGTACGGGGGTACCTAGAGGTTAGGGGGCAGGAGCCGGCACAGTCAGCATTCCCCGGGGCTGTAGGGCTGCGGCAGCCTCTGGTCCCCTGAGCCTATTGTGAGAGGAGACGCTAGGGCTGGTCCCACAAGCCCAGCCCCACAGGAGGCCCCAGCCTGTGTGTCTTGGGCCTCAAGCTGGGGGGGACATTCAGTCCCTGAGGACCTAATTTCTCCTGGGGTCCTTCATGATCTGGGTGAGCTCTGGCTTCATCACTGTGGAGTGGGGTGGATCTTGGGTGTGCGTGCTCTAGGCCAAGAGGGCCACCCGTGTCTCCTTGGCAGCAGCCCGCCTCAGTGGAAGGAAGCTTGGCTGGAGGCCCGGTCCAGGCAGGAAAGAGCAGGCTTGGGGGAGGGCCCTCATTGAAGTAGAATTGAGCTAGAAGCTTGGGGGGGGGGGACAGGAGGGGGTCCCAGGAGGGGTCTGAGGGTGAGTGTGGTCAGGTAGCCTGGGGGCTGTGGGTCGGCCCACAGGCAAGAGAATCCCCTGAGCTCCCGCTGGCCCCCCTCTCCCCCGCCACCAGGCTGGTCCCCACAGCCCGCTTCTACCCGCTGCGCCTGCACTGTGTCCGTGCCCTGACGCTGCTCTCTGAAAGCACGGGCACCTTCATCCCTGTGCTGCCCTTCCTCCTGGAGGTGAGAGCTGCCGTGACCTTGGGGGTTTTGCAGGGCAAAACCAGGGCATCGTCTGCTCAGTGCCTCGTTGCCCACCCCCGCCTGGGGGATGGGGGGCTGTCCATCTTGTGACCAATGGGCCCCAGGGACAGGGGTGTTTCAAAGGTCAGGACCAGCCAGGCCTGTACTTACCCTTCCTAGGCAAAGTCAGCCGGCGAGCCATCTGAGCTGCGTCTCTCCTGCGGGTGTGCCAGCCTCCGCACCTGTGTGTGTACATGTGTGTGCACGCACGCACCCGTGGCCACATGCTTGCGTGTATATGCCCGAAGCAGGGGGGCTCCAGAATGAAGTCTGGCCAGCACCGTTTCAGAGACCTGTTGTCTCGTTTGTTGGGGGGCAGGCAGCCTTGCTGGTCAGCATGTGCCCACCTGGAGACAGGGCCAGACTGTGGTCTGCCTCGGGCTCTCATTAACGCCCTTTGGAAGTGACATCAGCCCCCCTCCCCTCTGCTTGTGTTTGCTTTGGGGCATCTGACTGCCTGGTCTTTGGCTCTTGACACCCCTACTTTGGGCCCCACTTCTACCCTGACCTTCACCCCCAGCCCTGGGCTGCCGGCTAGAGGTAGGGCAGCGCTTGGCCAGGTGAGGGTTTATCCTGTGGGGAGACCTGTTGCTCTGAGGGTCACTACCTCCACTACCACAAAAGTCTCCTGATGGTGGGCCCTGCCTCAGCCCTGGGCAGCCTGAGCCATCAGGTCTGGGGGAGCAGGATGCAGATCCCAGGGAGCAGCTTGTGGTGCCTTTGGGGGACATGCATGCGTCCTGGGCTGGTCCCACTCCCTTGCTGCACTGGGGAGGGTTCTGATGGGCTGGCCGCACATGTGCCCACTTACACTGCTTGTTATCAGTGTGGGCACTGCCCTCGGTGAGGGAGGGGGCCTCCAGCCAGGGGCGCCTCCCTATTGAGCACCCCCCCTGGGTGACACACGTGCCCATGGTGCCAGCCATAGAAAGCACTGAGGCAGTGGGGGCACGGGGCAGGAGGTGGCAGGCCTTAATGCCACTCTCTCCTGCCTGCAGGTCTTCCAGCAGGTCAACTTCAACAAGAAGCCAGGCCGAATGAGCTCCAAGCCCCTCAACTTCGCAGTGATCCTGAAGCTGTCCAACGTCAACCTGCAGGAGAAGGCCTACCTGGTGAGACTGCAAGGTGGCCCAGGCATGCTGGTGTCCTGACATGCCCTTCCCCTCGGGCACCCCCCACCCTGATCCTGCCCTGATCTCCCTGCCCTTCCTCGTGCTTGCCCCAGCCTCTTGGTACCATCCTGATACAGTCATGTGCCTGATGTCCCCCGTCATGACACACAATCCCACCCCCACCCCCAGGATGGCCTGCTGGAGCAGCTGTGTGACCTCACCCTGGAGTACCTGCAGGGCCAGGCCCACAGTGTCGCTTTCCCGGAACTGGTGCTGCCCGCCGTCCTACAGGTCTGTGCCCGCCTGAGTCCTCCAACTGGTGGCCTGTTTCACAGGGGTCCCGATGTGGGAGTGGGTGCATCCTCCACTAGGGGACTGCGGGGCCCAGCAGCGCCTGCAGGTCCCAGAAGACTCCCTAGGGTCTGGAGTAGCCATAGGGCCACCCCCGAGACAACCCCTCATTGTGACTCTGGGTGCCACGAGGAGATGGGGCGGAGCTGGCCGGCTCCCACACGCTCTTTCCCCTGGGGTTCTGTTTGCTCAGCCTAGTTATTTCCTGCTTCAGGGGCGGGAGCGCTGTGGCTTCCCTGGGATGGGGGTGCACATGCAGGTCAGAGGTCCACCGGGACCATGTGTGCATGTGTGCAGGTGAGCAAGCACAGATGTAAACACAATCACACGTGCACTTCGTTATCTCATGTGTACAGGCTGGCTAAGTCCAAAAGCAGAGTGACGAGGGTCCGAGTGCACACGTGCACTACTTAATTGCAAGCAAAGCGTGTTTGCACATGGTTTGCGACCTGGGGCAGCTGTGGATGAGTTCCCTTGGTCATACCTGCAGCCTAGTCTCCTCGGGTGCCTTCAGAGAAAGGATGTTCTCTGCACCGGGGACAAAACCCATTTTGAGGCTGGCGTGAATACCACATTTTTAGCCCAAGTTAAGTGGGCCATCTTCCCAAGTCATTGAAGCTTACAAGAAGTTTACAGGAGCGTGGCCTCCTAGAACCCACTGTTTTTAGATGGATTGAGTGTTTCCAGGGAAACCTCAGAGGGGACACCGTCAAGCGACACAAACGAAGACACTGGCTGAAGTCCCGAAGCTGGTGGCAGAAGGCCCACCATGGCAACCCTGGACGTGAGAGCTACTGATGTTGGGACCTTTTCCATCTTCAGTGAACATCTCGGCCTTAGCGCACGTTCTGCCTCGTGTGTGCCAGGGACATTGCCCACAGCCCACGTAGAGAGCTGGGCTTCCCACCAGCCTTGGCTCTAAGCAGGGCCAAGTCTTGGATCGACCCACCAGACCCAGAAAGCCAGGGCCCACCACAAAGCTGGTGTCCTAGAGGCACTGCTAGGCCGGGTAAACTCCCAACCAGAGGTCAGTCTTGAAGGTCGTGGGCAGCTGTGTTTTGTAATTCCGTCTATTGTCGTCATGCGCCTACAGACTCCTCAAGAGGAGTGAGGGCTGTCCTACGGGAGTTCTCGTTAGGTAATCTTACTCCATCTGCCCTACAGCCCTGATCCCTGATCTTCAGACTCGTTTGTTCCCCAAACTCAAAAGAGGATAGGAACCCCCTGGAGGCCCTGGAGAACGCCCCAGCCACCTTTTTGACATGCTGTAAACCGAAGGGTGAGGAATTCTTCAGGAAGGGCCCGCCAAATCCTCCACACTGCTATTTGAGTCAGCTCTGACTCCCATCTTCATGGGAACAGAAAAACTCACCTTTCTCCCAAGTTGCAGCTGGTAGTCTTGAACCGCTGACCTTGTGGTTACCCCATTGCATAACCCCATTTACCACGTGGGCTCCTGCGGGGGAAGGGTTTGAGAGAAACACTTCCTTCAGAAGCATTTTCCCAGTGCCATGAAGGGGATGCTGACCGACAGCAACCCTAGGCTGTAGAACTGCCCCTGTGAGTTTCCAACACTGGGCATGGAAAGCCCTGTCTTTCTCCTTCAGAGGGGCTGGTGGTATTGAACTGCTGACCTTGAGGATTGCAGCTACGGGGGCTCCTAGAAGCATCCTTGATGGAGGATATACCAAGAAACAAGAGCCGCATGTTGATATTGTTTGTTGGATAGTTTTCTGTAATTTTGTAGCCATACTCTGGCTTACCTATATACACACGTGCACAGCCATTCACACATACACGTATCCACGTACAGATGTGTGTTCATCACACACTGTGTGGCCTCCAGCATCAGCCTCAATGTCCTTGTGCCCTGTGACCCTGGGTAGTCAGATACTCGTTTCTGGCTGGGGAGACCCAAGCTACCATGAGCAGACCAAGTGCAGGTTTTGGTAAAAGGTCAGCATGGGCCCTGCCCCCTGTGTAGGCTGCAGGGTTCTCAGGACTGCTTCTTGCCTGCCACGCCACAAGAGCAGCCACACACACTCGAGTGAGCTAGCAAGGAAGCAAGAGTGAACCATATTTATGAGCAGCCATGCTGCCCTCAGCTGTCCCTGGCCTCCGTCCAAGCAGAGCACACTCAAATGCACCCCCATCTGCAGCACCCCTACAGGCATACGGGTGCACATTTTGGGATAGGACCTGCATCCCATTTCCTGCAGTCCCCGGCTTTGGGGGAGATGATGGCACCCAGTGCCATTGCCAGAAGTGACAGTGCCCCTCCGCCCACAGCTGAAGTCCTTCCTGCGGGAGTGCAAGGTGGCCAACTACTGCCGCCAGGTGCGCCAGCTGCTGGAGAAGGTGCAAGAGAATGCGGAGTATATGCGCCAGCGCCGCCAGGCTGTCTCCTTTGGTGTGTCTGACCTGCAGGCCGTGGTCAGTGGGGCAGGGCGGGGTGGGATTGCTTGGGCAGTCTCTGAAGCTCCTCTAGGGCGGATGTGACCATGACCAAATCTCTTCTCCCCCCGCCTCCCCACCCCCCACAGGATGCCTGGGAGAAGCAGACCCGGGTGGAGGGGACCCCGCTCACCAAGTACTACAGCCACTGGAGGAAGCTGCGGGACCGCGAGCTGCAGCTAGAGATCAGTGGCAAAGAGCGGGTGTGTTGGCGGCCAAGCTCAACCTGGGGCCCCGGAGGGTGGGCAGGTGTTGAGGTGCCCTGAACAGGGCCAGGTCAGGCAGGGCTTCTCTGCCACAGCCACCCTGGTGCCTGTGGTGGGTGATATCGCAGACAGGCCACCCATCTGTGTGGCAGGCCTGTGCCTGTCCTGGGGGATGGTGAATCTCAGGCTCCCAGAGGGAATCCCATAGGGCTGCCACGAAGATGCTGAGTAGAGATTGTGCCAAGGCAACCTTCACCCATAAGGGGGGTGGCCCTAAAGCAGTGGTGGGTAAGAGGCGGGAAAAGTCACTGCATTCTTGGGACCCGGACCTGCGGAGGGAGGTGAATGGGGACAGTTTTGGATGAATGCCACGGGTCTGAGGGGAGGGTAGTGGAGGATAGATTGGGGGTCTGCATGGTGGTTCTTGAAGGGTTCATTCTCTTGTGGCCCTGCTGAGGCAGGGAGGGGGGGCCCAGGCACCACAATGGGGCAAACCCAGCCTCACACCCTGCTTGGGGGGCTGGCCCTCCAGTTGGAAGACTTGAACTTCCCAGAGATAAAGCGACGGAGACCTGGGGACAGGAAGGAGGAGGACAGGAGAGAGTTCAAGGACCTCTTTGACCTGGACAGTGACGAAGATGACCCCAGCTCCAGCCTCTTGGAGACAGGTATTTGGGTGGGTGGTGCTAGGCACTCCCAGCATCTTTGAGGGGCAGGAGTAGGTTGGCCATGGACAGGACAGGGCCTGAGACACACACACCCCATACCCCACCCCCACCCTTCCATGGCTGCTGTCATCAGTTCCTTCCCTTGCTTCAAAGTGGGGCTGTTTCTTAAGATCTAGCTCTCAGGGCTGGCTCCCCTCCCCACACCTGCACATAGTTCCTATGCAGCCAGACTGGCAGTAGACTGATCGCTCACTGGCCCTTCCTCAATCCCCAGGAGTGGCTGGGTCCCTGAGAGCCCAGCCAAGTCCAGAGGAGGAGGAAGACGAGGATGATGAGGACCACAGCAGCAGTGACTCAGAGGGTGAGTGCTCACGGGTTGGTGGGGCCCTGGCTGGGCCAGCAAGCAGACTGTCCAAGGGCAGCGAGAGCCAGCAGACCTCAACTACCCATGTCCCGGGAGGCCAGCCCAGCTGCTCCGGCAGCCAGCACAGCGGCTCCGATAAATTAATTAGTGCCGTGATTAATTAGTGATGAGTAACCTCCGGGCTGGCTCCTCCTGATAGAGCAGGATTTATGTGGCCTCCCTCCCTGCAGATGGCGGCGCAGACGGGGAGGCGGGGCTGAGCCCCGAGGAGCTGCAGCGGCTGGCCCAGGGGCCGGAGGACGAGCTTCAGGACCTGCAGCTCTCCGAGGAGGACTGAGGCCACCATGTCCAGCAGTAGGCAAGGCCAGAGACTGTGACAGGACTTTATTTTTACAACATTAAAGACCAAATGTACCAAAAGCTGGGCCGACCCCAGGACAATGGCCCGGCGACAGGGACACACCGCCACACCGCTGAGCTGGCCCTGCAGTCCCCCCAACGAAGAAAGGACCGCCCTGATTCTGGTGGCAGGTTGAACAAGGTCCCCCAGCAGGTCCAGTTCCAGGGGAGCAGTGATCCATGGCACCCCCTGTCTTTGGTTTGTCTGTTGCTGTCTGGGTGCAGGGACCCCGTCCCTGGGGTCCGAGGCACAAGCAGGCCTCTGGACTCAATAACACCCCCCCAGTCCCTCTCTGGGTCTTGTTCCTTTACTAAGTCACGTTTTCTCTCACTGTTACCACGTCTGGTACTTTGCATCCAAATCCAAAAGGAGAAATGAGCCAGGAGCAGGGGGGTTGCAAGAGTTTCTCATGGGGGTGGGGGTTTTCAGGCTCAGCACAGAGGCTGGGCGGGGTCTGCAGCCCCTGGGAGCTGGGTGGAGGTTCCATCCTCCTGCTGAGGTGAAGTTCGGCCAAAGGGGGAGCTGGTTGTTTCTGGAGACGGGGACTGCTCCCCAGCGGTGAGCTCTCGGTCAGGGGTACGCAGGGGTGGTGGCTGCAGTGGCAGGGCCACAGGGAAGCTGGCCATGTAGAAGACTCGACCCAGGCGCCTGGCCACCTGCAGCGACAGGCCTGGGTGGGCAGGGGTAGGGGCAGTGGCCAGCCCTGGTGCCCACCCATCCACCAAGACCACCCTCCACCCCACATGAGGACGCTTCCCGGGGGCCCACCTGTGCTCGGATCTTAAGTGCGGGCCCCAACTTAAGCCCCATGGTGGTCAGAAGGTGATCCTCGGTCAGCAGGGGCAGAGTCTCCCCGTCGATCCCCTGCTCTCTGAAGACCTGGCAGCGGGTGGGGGCAGCAGATTCAGGACCTGAGTGTGGGCACCATGGCCCCACCCTCAGAATCCTTCTAGCTAGGGTCTGTCACCAGCTACTGGGGGATGGAGCTGTTGTATAATTGGATCAAAGCACCCCCCCTCCCCCCCAGTGTAGAGAACATGCCAGCATTGGGGCAAAGGGGGTGGGGTGCTGGGGAGAGTTCGGTGGCACCTCCAGCCCCCTCACCCGTGCATACTCCCCACAGCCAGACAGGCCCCCCACAAAGCTGCACACATCATCCACGGTCCACTTGCTGACATCTTCAGGGGCCGAGGCCTCCTCCCTGTCTGTGAAGAGTCCCCCGGAAGCGCCTGGTGGGGAAGGGCTGTTGGCAGGGCTCAGGCAGGCAGTGGCCCACACTACACCCCCCCCTACCTTATTCCCTTAGAGATGTTGGTTTGAGGACTGGGAGGGGTTCTGCTCCCCCGGGACCCCTCCTCCCTGAGGTCCATTCAGACTGGGTCTTCTTGTTCCCCACTAAACAAGGGAGCACTGCCCACCTGTGTGAAAGTAGGGGCTGACAGTGTAGGGGAGGCCCAGGGGCAATGCAGGGGGCATTCCCTGCCCCTCAGCAGCGGTCCCTCCGGCTGGGGCTTGGCCTGGGGTGGGGCCCCGGCTCCCCAAAGCCACTGTCTCCGTTTCCTCTCCATCGGAATCCTTGGGGGGCTCGTCTTCAGAGCCATCCTGGGCCCAGAGCCCGGCCGGTGTGGTCTCCTTGGATTCACTGGGCCGGGCTGGAGCGGGGCCTGCTTCCCCTTTGCGGGCGGTGCGGCGGCGAATAGGCTCCCGGGGAGGGGTGGGAGGGCCCTGCGGGGGCAGCGCCAGCAGCGGCGCCGAACTGTGTCTCAGCACCAGCATGGCCCCGCGCCGCTGCAGCTCTTCGGCGCCGTCGGGCGGTCGCGGGGCGGGCTCGGGCGCCAGCAGCTGCGGGCGGGGCGCGCTCTCCAGCTCCTTCTGCCGCAGCAGCTCAGCCGACATCTCCAGCCTGGGCCGGGAGGGCGGGGGTCAGCGGCGTGGCCCCCACCCCCTCCCACGCTGGGGGCTGCTGCACCTACCGGGCCAGGTTCTGCTTCCGCAGCAACTCCTGCTGCCGGGCGAACATCTCCGCCTGCGCCGGAGGCAGGAAGCCGTACCCTGGGGCAGGAGGGCAAGCCACGGGAGGCAGATGGCCAGGTGGTCCCGGGCGCTCGCCCCACCCGGCTCTGCACGCTTGTACACCGAGGTCTACACGGACCCCGCCCGGTCCCCGGGGCACGCGCACACCCGCCCGGGCCTCACCTGGGGTCTGGCACAGAGCAGAGGGCACCCCCAAGAAGGGAGGCCTGAGGTGGGGGCCCAGGGCGATGTGCGGGGCATTCTGCGGCGACAGCAAGGGGGGCGGCTGCGACAGCTCCCTAGGTACAGCGGGGCGGTGAGTGGCACGCACCGCAGCCCAGGGCCCCCCCCCGCCCTGCGCGCCCCCAATTCCCGGAACCGCGGCCCCCTCCCGCAGCCGCCTCCGCTAATTGCCCGCCAACCGGGCGGTCGATGCGCCGCTCGTTACCGCTCTGGGTCGCGCCCGCCCCCGCCGGCGGCGCCAATTAATCTCGGGCGGCGGCGCGGAGGCGCTGACCCGGCGGGGCGCGACTGCAGCGGTAATTACTGAGCGGGGCGCGCCGGGGGAGCCCCCGCCGTCCCTCCCTCCCCCCCCAACCTCCCCTCCGTCTCCGTCTCCCCTCCCCGTCCCTTGCGGATTCGGCGGGGCGGGCGCGGCGTAATTAGCCACAGTCCAGGAGGCGAGGCGGCCGAGGCAGCTGTAGACGCGCCGCTGGGCGCAGAGCAGGGAAGGGGGGTTGTGTCACAACTCGGGTACCTCCATGCGAGCCGTCGCAGCCCCTCCCGTCCCTTGCCAGTGTCCCGAGTTGGCTCCTGCTTCTGTGCCCCGACGCCCCCAGAACCACACACCCTCTGACTTGATGGGAGGGGGGGAGCGGGGGTGGTGTCTCAGATCCCAGACCCTTCTCTGCGTCCAGCCTCCTGGCCTGCCTGTGGCACAGTTCAGCCAGGCCTAGCCAGGGCACTTGGGGTCAGTGAGACTTGTTCCCGAGGGCGCAGTCACGCCTATCCTCTTCTGCCCCATTCATGTCCCTGGCCCCTCTCAGCCCACCAGGAACCTTGGGCACAGTGAGGAGCCTGGGCACACTAGTGGATGGTCCAGTGGTGGGAGGGGGCATCTGCCAGTGGGCGTGTGGATGTCGCAGAGGATACAGAGGGTTCTGGCTGATGGACCTGACAGGCCTGCCCACCCCCCTCCACATACCAGAAGCAAGCCCAGAGATTCCCTCCTCCACAATATACAGTACAGCCCCCCCGCCCCCCCCAGCCCAGTACCTCTCAGGGAAGGACGGGGTAACGGTTGGGGCGATGCCCTCCCGGTGCTGGGCCAGGCCTTGCTTCCGACGCGGACCTGTCGTGGACGAGGGCAAGTGGACTTCCAGGCTGCTGGGGTTCCTCACAGCTGTAGCTGCTACCTCTTGCCGGACCCTCAAGAGATCTGGGAGGGTGGGTGGAAGTGACCCAGCATCCTGACTCCCACGGCCCTCCCCCTGGTATACCAAGGGGACTAGGACAGACAGAACAGGTCCTCCAGCCAATCAGCCCTGACCACTGCACCTCCTGTGGCTAGATTCTGAGACTGGCCAGTACCAGGACAGAAAGATGAGTGGCACAGGCACATGTCCCTAACCAAAGAGAGGTGGGGAAGGAATAGGGAGCCAGCCCCGGCAAGGCAGCCACGTGTCCAGGTGCAGATGTTAGAGCAGACACGTGCAGAGGGCTGCAGGGTGGGGGAGGCGGGAGGTGCAGGCGTAAGGGGACAGGGCAGCTTGAGGAGCCCGTGTTGCAGTGGGCAGGTTGGACAGGGCCTCTCCTCTGCCTCTCATGGCCTGAGCTGGCTCTGGTGGCCAGGTGGGAAGTCAGGGAAGATCCAAGATCCCCCAGACGGAGCTGGCAAGGACAGAGGCCTCAGACTGGTAAGACGGAACACGTGGGTCCCATAGCAGGTGCGGGCACATTGCCTGCTGGAATACCCGGCACACAGCCAGCCAACAGTTGACCACATGGACATGTGCACACAGACACATGCAGCACCCAGCAATGAGGGTGTGCTGCACATGCAGGCACACACAAGCATGTGCACACCTAGGTCCATGGCACACACAATACAGTGGCTGAGCCACTGCTGCCCACGGGTCTCCAGCCTGCTCAGGGCCGCCTGAGTCCCCTCCCGCAGCCCCCACCTTCCCAGGCTCCACCGCCGCCGCCGCTGCTGTTTATAAATTAATTACCCGAAAAGCGGAGGAGGCCGGTCCTGCCCCAGGCCGGATGCCAGCCTGCAGAGCCGAGCTGGCGCGGCCGCCCGCATCAATCCCAGCGGTGCCTCCGCCGCCCCCGCGCCACGGCCGTGGTTATTTACAGTCGGCTCCGCAGCGGGGGTGGCGGCTCCGCGGCGGGGACCTTGATTGACAGCCAGCTCCCTGGGCGAGAGGCCCACAGCCCTCCCCCTCAACGGCCAGCAGCGGCCCCAGGCAGGGCAGGGAAAGCAATTAAAAGGGAAGATTTTTAAATTATTAACATTTGGTGAATTATTCAGGCTCTCACGGTGCCTGAGCTGCCCTGGGGGACAGTGCCTGGTGTGCAGAGAGGAAAGCCTGTCCCCTTTCCGGGAGAACTCCTTCCTGCCTGAGACACCAGGACTCCCTGGGCTGGGTTGGCAGGGGAGGCCAGGGTCCAGCTGGATGGACCACAGGGGTGGGGGGAGGCATGCTAAGGGGCAGGGGCACAACGGTGCCTCAGGCTGCCAAACCTTTGCCTTCTTTCTGACCTCCCTCACCCACATCTGACCTGGACACCCCGACCCTGTGAGGTCACTGTGGTGGAGGTGCTCCTCCGGCTGAGGGGCCAAGCAGGGACACAGGCTGAGAGGCCCCCTCTGGGACTCAGTTTCCCCATCCCCTCTCAGGGAAGGGTGCCATGTGGGAGACATGAGGCATGGCTGCAGGAGAGGGATGGGGTGTAGCCAGGGCCAGAGTCTGGGCAGAGGTGAAGGCATGGTTTTGGGGGGCATTGCTTGGGCACCTACCATGGCCGGGCAAGCCGAGGTGGTAGAGACGCTGGGGATCCTCAAAGGTGCCTGCCTCACTGAGCGCAGACACAAGGCGGCGGTAATGCTCCTCGGGGGCCATGCCCGGCCCAAGCTCTGGCAACAGCAGAGGCCCTGGGACAGAAACACAGGGAGGGGCTTTTTCAGACCCTGCGGAGCACCCCACCCTCCCACAAGGTCCCAGCCAGTTAAGGGCTCAGCTCTCCCTTCCTCACCCAGGCCTACCTGCAGGGGACTGGCTTCGGGCCTTCTTCTCCGAAGGGCAGTCAATACTGATGTGGGGGGAGGAGCTCAGTCTCTTGCCCAACCGGTCACCTGTAGGAGGAATGTCTCAGGGAGGGGCCCAGCCCTTGTCCCCATGCACACCCCCTCCTCCGGTTGGTCCCGGTGAGCCAAGGCTGGTTCCAGCTGGGGCTCAGTGACCAAGGACACCATGAAGGTGTGGGGGAAGATCCAGGATTTATGGAACAACATGGCCCTGGGCTCTGGGGGGAGAGGATGTGTGACACGCAGGAGACTCAGAAAAAGGGGCTTCAGTGAAGCTGGGGACCCCCAGGCTGGCTGCTGCTCTGCTACCTGCCTGGTGGCCAGGCTCATAGGGCTTCCTGCCAGTGATTTGGGAGAACAAGATGCTTTTGATTTGATGGGGGGGGGGGGAGGCTGGTGACTTGGGACCCTGTGCCAGGCTGGGGGGGTGAGGTATGTAGCCACGCCAGTTAGGAAAGCACCCTCAGCCCCCAGGCTGCTTGGCTGGGCAGTACCTCTGCTCTCCTGCTTGGCTAGAGCTGCACAGTCCCCACCCCACCCCCACCAGCTAACCAAATTCATCTTCCACATAGATGTGTCCCACAGACACCTCCAGGTTACATCCACAGCCCTCTGTCTGGCCCACTCAACCTGCCAGTGGCTCCCTCACCCAGGGCCCCAGCCTGCCCCATTCTCTAGAGCCTCCAGGAAGGGTGGGTGACAGCCCCTGCCGGGCCCCAGGTCCACTGTGACACCTGGATGCACGGCCTTCCAGCCTGGAGCCCGCCCCGGAAGCCCGGCCGTCAGCTCCAGAGCTTAATTCCTTTTTCTTATTCCCTTAATCTGTCATTTTTATCAGGCCGGGAAGTGCGGCGGCCCGGCGGCCGATCAATCTCCACATTACAGCTGACAGAATGGTGCTAATAACTTATTGATCTTGGCCCCTTGCTGCCACTGGCCGGGGCAGCCCAGCCCTGGCCCCAACCTTGCCCCAAAGAGATGGGCAGTGGCTGAGAACTGGGCAGGATGGGCTGCAAGCGGGGCGGGGGACTGCTATGTCTCTGAGAGGGAGACAGGCAGACAAGGGGGTGGGTGCACAGTCCTGCAATACCCCGTAACCACTCCTCTAGGGACAGGCTGGGTGGGGGGGCTGTCTATAAATAACCCAGAGGCCACCCCTGAGCAGCCACCTGCTTCCTGCTTCCCTCCCTGGATGGAGACCTGCTGGGAAACCCACGGTCACAGGCTGGGGGAGGGCTGTCAGGAGGGTTAGGGGCTCACTAGTCCCCCCCCCCAGGAAAACTGCCCTCACAGGACATGCCAGGGACAGCAGGGGTGCCTAGGGAAGCCCCTGACACCGCCTCACAGATGCCGCTCCCAGCCCTGATAAGAGCAGGAGGGGGTTCATGTGCCAAGACATCTGTGTTTGGGAAGGGCTGGAGCAAGGGGATCACAGGAAGCAAGAGCGGGCGATAACCTCCTGCCAAAACAGGGTTCAGCACCCCGGCCTGGATGCACCCTTGAAATCTGGATGCACACATGTGTGATAGACACAGGCACACATGTGCAACTTCAGGCAAAGGCAGAGGGTACAGCTGCACACTTCTGGGAACAGGGTGTGGCTGTGCACACAGGCTGAGGACGAACACGCACACCTGCCTGTGTGCCCCAGGATGCATGTGTGAATGTGTGTGTATGTGTAGGCAGCCACGGGGAGGTCCCCCGCTGCCTGAGAACATCTCAATCATGGCGGCTGCTCCGCCCAATCGATGGGGCAATTAGATTTTATCAGCCGCTTGGCCGCCTCACTCATCCAGCTTGGCTCAATGCAGCCCGTGCTCCCAGGCCCCCAGGTCCCCAGCAAGGGCAGCCTGTAGGCCATCCTGCCTTCCCAGAACCAGCCAGGTCACAGAACTCCAACCCCGCCCCCCCAACTCAATGCCAGGTGCCCCCTCAGGTGGAGTCAGGGTCTCAGGACAGCCTTTCGATCTGAACTCTTTTTGCAGGTGGAACTGGGTGGGAGGGGGAGCCTGGGTGGAGAGTTGTAGGTGCCCCGGGTGGTGGGTGACTGGGTGGCAGCCCACAAGAGCGGTTCCAGGGGCCTGCAAGGCTGCATGTGCAGGTCTGGGGACCTCCCTCCCCCAGGAGGGGGGCAGTGGCCTCGGAGGCTCCAAGCCAGTGACACCCCCCCACCCCCCCCCCCCTGCCCAGCTGCCCCCTCCAGCCACAACGGCAGTGGAGCCACAGCCCCGCCTCCTGTCTGCCTGGCGGGATTAACACAATTACCATCACGCGGCGCCCCAGGGGACAGGCAGCCTCGCCACCTCCGCCTCACTGGCCTCCTGGCCGCCAGCCAAGGCTGCTGGGGGTGGCGCGTCCAGGCTGCTGAGCACAGACTCCTGGACACAGGGCGGGTGAGGAGGGGGCTCCCCCACCCTGGCACCCAGCCCTCACCTGCAGCTCCCAGACCCAGCTCTGCACCACCTCTCTGGAATTCGCAGCGGCTCTGGGGCTCCGGCATCACGAGGTGGCGGCTGCGGTGCACACTGGATATGAGGGTGGAGAGGTCACTGTCCTGGCTGGGGCAGAGCAAGAGGGACAGTGGGCAGGAGGCTGGGGCGGCCCAATAGTCCAGACCAGGCCTGGTGAGGCCCATCCCCCTGGGGGGAAGGCATGAGGGTAGTGAGGGTGAGGTGTGTGCCATGGGCCCTCGCCACCTCTTCCAGCCTCACCCCTGCTCTCTCCTGAAAGGACTCTTCTCTGTGCTGGCTCCCAGTAGGGGTGCTGCTCGTGCGGGTCAGGCACCCAGAAAGGCTTGAATCACCTATCTCAGTGAGAATCTGCAGCCCCTACCCAGGTCAATGCGACCCCAGTTTCCTGGAAAAGAGGTTCGGAGCAAAGTCCTAAGGGCAGCAACACATCCACGTACACACCAGCACTTGCAGGGTTAGACGGACATCTGTAACCCGTGGGGATGCAGACACACACAGCTGGAAATCCAGAGTCCACCCATGCGGGAACACACACACACCCATGGGGACACACACGCATATACACGTGTGCACGTGGGAACACAGACACGTGCACGCCTCATATGCACACATCCGCAGCTACACACGGATGGGGACCCAGGTTCACCTGGGCCTGAGAATTTTAGCAAGCCAGGCTCCTGAGAACTTGTAACAAATGCATGTTTAACACTTTCTCCCTCAATCCCTCAATCCATACTCACAGAGCCCCACAGAAGGGGCGGGAAGAACCCCAGGGGCGACTGTAGGAAGGCTGCCTACCTGCCACAACAGCTCCTGGCTCCCACTCTACACACGCTGCGCCCCACCGCCCGGCCCACCTGTGACTGTGACAGAGGAGCCTCCCAGCTGGCCACACCACACAGGGCCTCCGCGAGTGACCGGGAAACCCCGAGCCTAAATCTCCTTAAATAGCCTCCCTGGCCTGGGCCAGTGGCCGATCTAATCTGAGCTGGTTTCTAATCAGATCCGTTTCAACGCCAAGGGCTGGGCTGGAGCCAGCCCCAGGGCCTTCTGGGAGACCCAGATGCAGGTCCCCTTGATGCCCCCATGCAAATAGGAGGGCAGGTGGGGCTGGGTAAGTACTTTATGGGATTAATTGGCAGCGAATCTCATCCCCTCCATCATCCTCATCAATGCGGGGGTGTCCCAGCAAGAACTGCTGCTCTCAGCACCATGGAGGGGGAGGCGGCCCAGGGTCCCATGGGGAGGCCAGCCTACCTCTCAAGGACTCAAGAGGGCAGGACTCAGTTTATTCCCGCAAGAGTACCCATCTCAGCACACACAGGGGCCTGGTCTTGGCTCTGAGAGGCCCTGAGGACCTCCTGCCTCTCTCTTGTTTTTCTCTCCTCCAGGGCTCATTCGGCCCCAGGGGAACCTGTCTGGTCACTCACCAGGCACATTGTGCCAGGTTTTATGTAAAGAACTACAAAGTAACCTTGCGCTCATTGTGCCAAGGGGGCTGGGGAGGAGGGCTCAGGTCTTCCAGCCAGCTCTGGGCCTCGGGCCTCAGAGAGAAGACAAGACAAGACAAGGGGTGTGAGTGTTCGCTGCCTCGGGCCAGAGGGGACACACCGGGCCAATCCCTGCACATGGTGCTCTGCTCACTCCAGCTGCTGCAACCAGACAGAGGGACAGCCACAGAGACAGGAATGGAGATAGACAGAGGAAGATGGAGGGACAGACACGCAGATGGAGACAGACAGGTGGATGGAGATGGAGATGGAGACAGATGGACAGAGGATGGAGACAGGGAGAAAGACAAGCAGACAGAAGATGGAGACAGATGGACAGATGGAAGACTAGAGACAGAAGGACAAAAGGTCAGGCCCAGGATGAGGCAGGGAGCAAAACAGGCAGACAGAGCGGAAGGCCTTGGGGTAGCTGAGCAGACGCCTCCAAAGCCCTCAGCAGGGTTCACTGCCTCTTCTGCAGGGCCAGCTGCAGCTCTCCTGGTAAAATTAGGGCACTGTCCAGCCCATCTTGGCCTAGGTAGGGATGCCTTTGGTCAGTGGCCCCTGTACCCCTTGGCCAAGGCATGTGTGGTGCAGGTGGGAGCAGCCAAGAACAGGTGACCTCCTGGCCATGGGGGAAAGGGGGAGCGGAGGGGCCAGCACTCCAATCTCCTTCAGGCCTCACTGACAAATTTATCTTGTAATGTCCCAAGTAAAAGGCTCATAAAATGTCATCAATGTTCATGACAGGTCATAAAAATGATCAGTTGAGCTAGCAACTCCAAAATGAGGTGGAAATAAGTTTAAAGATGTTTTTATTGTAATTCGGCTCCGGGACCCTGCTGCTTTCTTCGAGTGGTAAATAACAACTGGTCCAGCCAGGGCTGGGACTCGACTCGGGTGTGCTGGGGAGGGCCACCTCTCATACCCCGCTCACCCACCCAATGCCTGCTGTGATGGGCCCACTAGTGCTGCACTGGACCCCAAAGACTGGGCACCATAAACCCACCCCCACTGCACCCTGGAGGAGAAGTTGGGCCCTGAATCCCATCGCCTCAAGCCCTCTATTTTCCTCCCCCTCTCCCATCCGTGTTCTACAGCTGGGTCTGTACTGAGCAGAGCAAGCCCTATGTGGAGGGCCAGAGTGAGCCTCTAAAACCAAATACTCTCAGCCATCAAATCAATTCCGACTCAGCTCGATCCTGGAATTGTGGGTTATGCGCTGGGCTCCCAACCACAAGGTCAGTAGCTTAAAACCACCAGCTGCTCCATAGGACAGAGACAAGGCCTTCTACTCCCAGGATGAGTGACAGTCTTGGAAACTTACGGGGGTGGTTCTACCTTGTCCCTCTAGGGCCTCCATGAGTCAGGGTGACATTCCAGAAGCCAGGGAACCAAGGACAGGCCCACAGATCCAGTGGGCAGGCCCAGGTGGGAGGTAGCTATGAAATTACCGGAGAGCAATCGAAAAGCCAGCTTGGACTCCTACCTGCAGGATGTCTCTCGGAAGGAGATGTTCACGTCCCAGTGAGTGTGGACCCTGCAGGGAGAGAGGTCGGTAGTTCCCATGCAGTCGGCACCTATGCCAGGTGAGGGGTCTCCCCCCAAAGACCCCAAGATCAAGGGGAGGGTGGGTGGTAGCCAGTATGGAAAAGGGTGGGAAAACAGGCTGGGCAGTACCCAGAGATGGGCTGGGGGAATTATCTTTGGGGAGAACCGGGAGTGTGTGAAGAGACTAGAGTAGCGGTTCTCAACCTGTGGGTCATGACCCTTTTGAGGGTCAAACAACCCTTTCACAGGGGCTGCCCGATTCATCACAGTAGCAAAATGCCAGTTATGAAGTAGCAACAAAAATAATTTTATGGTTGGGGGTCACCACCACATGAGGAACTACATTAAAGGGTCTCGGCATTGGGAAGGTTGAGAACCACTGGGCTAAAGGGTTGGAATTGCTGTGGATGTCTAGAAGGTTCTCCTGAAGCATGTGTTGTGTTAGACAAGTGGACAGGGAGATGGACAGACAGACAGATGGGTAAATGGCTGGGTGGACGGATGGGTGGGTGGGCAGCTGAAGGTGACTCTTCTGGAAGTGGGGGTGGGACTGTCATCAGGAAGGTGACACTCAAGTCTTGGGGAACAGTGAGGACAGGAGAGCCCCTGACACTGCCCCCTACCCTGTGGACCCCAAGCCCAGGTTCTGCTTCCTATGCCCCTCCTCCTTGTTCTATGTCTCCCCCACACCAATCCCACCCCCCACCCCCAATTCCCGGTGGCCAGTCCCGGCCAATCACCTTCTCTTCATGATACTGACTCGAACGTCGTCCTCGCGCTTCAGAGCTGGCCGCCGCCTGCAGGCCGGGCCGCTCCCGTCACAGGTGCCATCTCTCACCAGGAAGCCGGGGGCTGGCTCCTTCTTCAGGACCCGAGCAGGAGGCAGGGCGATGGTCCTCTTATCTGCCAGCCGCCCCCGGTTCTGGGCAGGTGGAGGAGAGAAGGGTCAGGCCGATTGTCTCCCAGGTCACAGAAGCCTTTGAGGTAGGTGGTCACCAAGGACAAACGGGCGCAGTCCATTTGTATGTACATATATGTACACGTCTCAGGGCGTGAGGCCAGGCCATCCCCACTCCGGACTCTGCCCCAGCTCCTGACAAACAGCCGCTCAGCCTGTGATGGGGGTGGGGAAGGCCCTGCACCCCTGCCCCGCGCCCCCATGAGCCGACTGGCTCCTCCTTCATTCTGCTCCCCCACTGGGTGCCCCAGTGTCCCCCGCCATGGTAATCCCAAAGCGGTGCCAAGGTCAACAAGCATGGTCCAGTGTGAATCTCAACAAGTGCCAAAGTCAACAAACACAGTCCAGTGTGAACCCCCAAACCGAAGCCAACGTTGACAAGCCCAGTCCAGCATGGACACCCAAACCAATGTCAACAATACGGCCTCATTCCACACGCTGCCACCTTACAGGGCCCGCTCCGGCTGGCTGACCACGGCCTGGCACTGGCAGAGCTGTGACGCATTATTCCCTCCCCCAACCCCCTCCAGAGCAGGCAATCTCGGGCCCTGCTGAGCTCGTGGTCCAAAGACCCCCTTTGCAGCCCAACCAGCTGAGGGCCCAGAATCGAGGGGTTCCCATCAAAAAAGAAAAGCCCAGGCAAGATAGACCAACCCAGTCCCTCCACCACGGGCTCAAACCTAAGGATTCTGAGGACTGCGCAGGACCAAGCAGTGTTCTTTCTGCTGTGCTGAAGGTCACGATGAGTCAGATCTGACTGGACAGCCCCTAACAATAACCTAGCCTGTTGTAGACCAGGCACTGGAGCCCAGCCTCAGCCTCAGGAGAGCCCCGTCTTCTCCTCTACTGCCTTCCTGCTGTGTGTGTGTGTGTGTGTGTGTGTGACACACACGAGGGAAAAGGCCCACAAAAGGAACCTGGGATCTGGCCGAAGTGCCCCCGGGCTGCATGCCAATGCGCCGGATGCAACAGCATCCACGGAGAAACCCGGTCCCTGTGGGTGGGTTGCCTGGAGTTGCTGAGGAGGGGCGGGCTGGAGGTAGCTGCAGAAAGAGACCTCGGAGCTTGAGGCCAAAATGTCAACCCCACTGCCATCTAACAGCACCCAGACTTGAAAAGTGGGTGTTGGAGCCTCTGCCCCCGCCAAGCCCAGAAGGCTGTGGAGGGGGCATGACCTAAAGCTGCCCCTGTGACTTC